ACATGGTAGGGTCAGCTAGTCTTGTATAAATTGCAGAAAGCAGGAGGATATTTTGTAGTTATAATACGAGATAGATAGTGATTGCCTTGGTTCCTGTGTGAATGAAAGTCTCTCAGATAGGCATGGCATGTCATCTTGTAGCAAAATGGGGATAAACTATGGCTTGGATGCTAAGTGCACTCAAAGAAATTCGTGGAAGGTTGTACCTGCTTCCTTTATCTTCCTCTCGTCTATCCCACTTTGTTTTAGACATACATGCCTTTTTGAGCTCAAACTGAGCTCCCTAAGGCAGCCCCACCCCCTTGGAAATAGTTCAGAGCCAGAACTATTTCCGACAGGGCTGGTCTCCCTTCCATGAAGGTGGCAAACAGATGCCCTGCGCCAACTTGAAAATTGCATTGCCATCCCACCACCTTAATAAGAAACCAGACAACAGTGTGGAAAAAATGTATGAGGGTTGTATCTGCTTACTTCATTTTCCTCTTCCTCTCCTCCATCCCACTTTGTTTCAGACCTTTTCACATAGGCTTTTCAGACGGATCCTTTTTGCTGTGGGAGGACAATATTTCCTTCCATGGACTTCTGTATCTTTAGGGCCAAGACATTGCTGTTTTATCTCAGTTTATTTATTTATTTACCTTATTTATATCCCGCCTTTTTCTACTCCAAGGCGGCTTACAATCGCACCTCCATGGTACCTTAAAACATACAATTAATGCACAGATATCTATGAGTATACAAAGAAACATTAGGACTGGTTTTGAACTTTTTTCACACTGTACTTTATAAAATAACCCTGTGAGATTTACTTCCGAGTAGGTTCTATGTAATAGTTGAAGGAAATAGATCATGATATTATTTTTCTTGATGAAATTGTAAAGAGACATACTATACATACTTTGTTTCTTTAAATCATACAATATCAGCTAAAAACACAAGTTAAAAATTAAGACATTGTACACATAATTAATATACATTTCAATGAATCACACCATCCAGAGTCAGAGTCTAAGGCCATTCCAAGGTCATATTGCACACATAGTTGTCTCATATCCCTGTCCCCAAAGACCCTGGTTCTGAAATCAGTAAAAGCCCTGCTGAGTTTTTTTTTTGGGGGGGGGGGGGGGGGGGGGGGGGGTTGGTGGCGTGAAAAGCAAGAAAATGAATTCCCTGTCATCAAAAGGAAGCAACTGATGAGTAGGAGTTGGAGTCATTTTGCCTTTAAACCAGGAAACTGATGTTTTGTAGTGGGAACGCTTAGCACTTAAACAGTGGCAGGATCTGAATGGTTGGAAAATATGTTTCAGAACCTGCCAATTGAAATTTTCCTTCTTTAAAATTTTGATAGATCAACAATTAGGAATTCCTTTCCGTTTCCTTTCCACCCGTTTATCATAATTTTTTACTGAAGCTAGAATGCATTTTGTTGGGTTTTTTAAAAGAAGAAAAACATGAATGTAATCATCTCTGATTTGTCCCTCCAGCTCTAGTGCTTTGAGTCTTTAGTGTGTGTTTCAGTCCCTATGTATTCAATTCAGTTAGTGTTGGGTCCCTGTGTCCCTCTGGGGAGAGAGGGCAGATTATAACTAAAGTATTGTTATTATTGTTGCTATTATTATTATTTGATACATAACAAGATTAATACATAGTAAACGATTCCGTTAGTGTTGGGTCCCTGTGTCCTGAGAGAAGACAGGTTATAAATAAAGTGTTGTTGTTGTTGTTGTTGTTGTTGTTGTTAGTAGTACTATTATTATTATTTTATACATAACGAGATTAATACACAGCAAACGATTCCGTTAGTGTTGGGTCCCTGTGTCCCGAGAGAGGACAGATTATAAATAAAGTATTGTTATTTTTTTTTGCTGTTCTTGTTGTTGTTATTTGATACATAACAAGATTAATACACAGCAAACAAGATCACTATGCTCGATTTTGCATATGGTCACAACGTAGGACACTTCCCAAGGTTTTTTTAATGGAGTTCAGAATGCTCTTTGATTGTAGGTGAAGTATAAATCCCAGCAACTACAACCCCCAAATGACAAATTCAATCCCCTCTGCCAAACCCACCAGTATTCAAATTTAGCCGTATTGGGTATTTGGGCCAAATTTGGTCCAGTGAATGAAAATACATCCTGCATATCAGATATTTACATGACAATTCATAACAGTAGCAAAATTACAGTTACAAAATAGCAACAAAAATAATTTTGTGGTTGTGGTTACCACAATATGAAGAACTTTATTAAGGGGTTGCAGCATTAGGAAGGTTGAGAACTACTGACATAGGGTGTAATTGCCCTACAGTTTATATCAGCTTTGCGTATTCATAACTATTACAACTCCATCCTAATGAAATTTAGGTTTACATGTTGGCTGATTCATTTAGAATGGATTTTCTCCTACAGATTTTTTTTCAAAGTAATCTTTATTGAATTTATAAGATCCTACAGATCTTTAGCCTGCTTCCCTGAACTACAGATCCTAGGATTCCTTAGGGTGGAGTCATTGCAAAGAAGTCTGAAACCGATATAACTGTAGTGCAGATGTCTTTGAGACAGTCTTGATCTTCTCTTTATTCAGAATAAAGTCATATCTGCGCTATCTGTAAAAAAAAATTAAAAAACTAACCAGTATTTTTTTCAGAACTACTTCAACAAGCCCTTCCCCTTCACAATCATTAATTCTTGCTCTCCTGCACCTTTTCCAGCCTCCCACCACCATCTTGACTTAACAAGTTTTACTTTTATGCACTATTGGCCGTCCCCTGCCACGAGTTGCTGTGGGCCAGTCTGTGTATATGTGTTTTGTGTGTATATATATGTGTATATAGGTGGTTTTGCACATGCGTTGTAATGTATTCTTTATTTTTTTGGAGTCTCTTTCACTGTGTTTTTCAGTGTTTTTATGATGGTCACTCATTGGCCTGATAGGTGTCTTGTGTCCAAATTTGGTGTCAATTCATCCAGTGGTTTTTGAGTTATGTTAATCCCACAAATGAACATTACATTTTATTTATATAGATTTTGACAATTGGCAAAAAGACTTGGGAATAAAGTGTCCTGAGACTAGTTTCTTCTGTATATATCTCGTCTATATATCTTGTCTTATTAAACTAGTTCCCTTCCGAAGAAGCAATTTGGTTTATTTGTGTTCCCTACACCCTCTAGTGGTGCCTGCTGCTAGTGAGAGAAAACATCAGCTGCCATCTCTGATTAAGTAAAGTGGGAAGTGGTAGACATTAAAAGTACAAACAAATTTCCAGAAAGTAAATTCAGTAGCACCCATGGCACATGCTCTGAAAACATGAAAAATACCAAAAAGAAAATGTAAACTTTTTTTTACCAATTCAACAAAAAAGGATGGAAAATTCCCGGAGTGGGTGTGTGTGTGGAGGAAAGTCTTTCTATCTCAGGTTCTTAAATTGCTGTAAGTCTTCCATCCGGCTTCTTTGAAATGTGAATCCCTGGACCCGTTGTCACCAAAGAGATTTAGCTTTCTACATATGATAAAACAATTGGTCTCGATTTTATGAAGAACAGCATTTTATGTGTTGTCAAAGGTCTTCATGACCAGAATCACTGGGTTGCTGTGAGTTTTCTCTGGCTGTATGGCCATGTTCCAGAAGCATTCAAAATAAAATTTCAAATTCAAAATAAAAATTAGGGTAATTTTGCAAGGCCCTATGTGAGAGCATTGTGGGCCCCTACCTATCCCCTGGCAGCTATCTACCCATGCTTTGCAGTAATACCACTCTATGGCTGTTTTTCTCTCTCCTTTTTTTCGTGTCGGGAGCGACTTGAGAAACAGCAAGTCGCTTCTGGTGTGAGCAAATTGGCCACCTGAAAGGACATTTCCCAGGGGAGGGGACACCTGGATATTTTGATGTTTTATCATCCTTGTTGGGAGGCTTCTGTCATGTCCCCGCATGGAAAGCTGGAGCAGACAGAAGGAGCTCAACCCACTTTCCCTGAATTTGAACTACTGACCGGTCAGCAGTCCTGCCTGCACAAGGGTTTAACACAATGTGCTACTGGGGGTTCCTCTGTGGGCTGTTAACTATGGTCCACAGTAAGGAGGCATCCTTATGGGGGGAGATCCAAGTTAGCCTATGCCCTCCCAACTGTGCAGTGTTCCTACTAATTGTTATTCTTAAAATTTGCTTAGAGATGTGCTGGCATGTTTAGTAGCAAAAATGCTAAGTGTCTTTTCCACTTCCACTCCTTTCTTTCCTGGACCATTAGCCAATCATGTGGAGCCCCCGGTGGCGCAGTGGGTTAAACCCTTGTGCCAGCAGGATTGAAGACTGACAGGTTGCAGGTTGGAATCTGTCAGCTCCAGCTCCTCATGTGGGTACATAAGAGAAGTCTCCCACAAGGATGGTAAAAATCAAAACATTCGGGCATCCCCTGGGCAACGTCCTTGCAGACGGGTAATTCTCTCACACCAGAAGCAACTTGCAGTTTCTCAAGTCGCTCCTGACATGAAAAAAATGCCAAACGTGTGTGCTTTAACACTTTTCAAAACACTTCTCTCTGTATAAAAGGCAGACATTTACTTGTGAAAGCAAGAGACTTCATTCTTCTGTTCAAAATCATGCAAAATTGAGATTTTATCTCATGGCTTCAGAAACCGGGGCTTTAGGAAAAGCAATTTACTTTTGTGAAAGAACTGCAAATAACAGGGGAATTGGGCTGTACTCATGAATATCAAGTGTCCTCTTACTATTGCTTGAAAAGGACTTTGTGATGATGTAGTGCTAACCCATTCTTAACTTATAACCAAGAGAACCCTGGAGGGAGTTGTCCTGCTGGCAAAAATCTTCTTTATGCGTCTTGTGCTGCTCTTTGCACAACCACAACAGCAGTAGAAACAACATCTGGTTCTGCTCTTCATCCTCCTCTTCCTGCTTCCTTGCCATCTCCCATCCTTGCTTGTTCTAGATTATGGCTATTTCATGTGTTAAGTGTTTTTCCTTTCTCCCCTTCTTTCTGTAGGACGGTGATTCTGAGTGAAGGACCTTGCAAGCGTAACTAAGTGGTTATCATGGGCTTAATTGCATTTCTGAAGACCCAGTTTATAGTTCACCTCTTGATTGGGTTTGTCTTTGTCGTGAGTGGGTTCATCATTAACTTCATCCAGCTATGCACGCTAATCCTCTGGCCTATAAACAAGCAGTTTTATCGACGAGTAAACTGTCGCCTTTCCTACTCATTGTGGAGCCGTAAGTATGCTTTGATTTCTGTACATTAACTAGGAAAGTCTTTTCTTTAGATTGGAGTTGTTAAGAAACCAGGGAAGATGACTCTTTGAGAGCAATGGAGACCTGCAAGAGTGAATATGCATATGCAAATAAGGACAACGGGAGCAGGTAGAGGGCAAGCTAATAATGCAGGGGTGTCAAACTCATTTTCATCGAGGGCCGCATCAGCCTTATGGTTGCCTTCAAAGGGTCATTGAATCAATGGATGGAGAATCTCTGGATGCAGAGAAACAATTGTATTTTTTTACATATTAGTCGGTTCTCTTTAGTTTTTACTCATTATAGGTTATTGAATGACAACTCCCTTCACTTTTGATTATCTGCCATGCAAATTGAGGATAGTAGAAAGTGGAACCCAGAAGCACTTACGGCACTGAAGTTGGGGAAACGTTAAAGGACATTTTAAAGTCAGACGTCATATCCCTAAGCCTTGTATCTAAATTCAAACTCCACTTTCCTGACCAAACAGAACAAACTTCAGTCTTCCAGTTGTTACTGCATTACAACTCCCATTAATTTTAGTCATGATGTCTAATGCTGAAGGAGCATCTGGAAGGCCACATAAAATTATATTGTGGGCCATATTTGATCTGTGAGCCTTGAGGTGGACACATGTGTAGTAGAGTCTAGAGATCATTCTGTCATGAAGAATGTCAACATGTACCATCTCTTCTCTTTTTTGCTAGTCTATGTACCTACAAGTATAGCCTTAGCGCACAAGACTTGTAGGTCACTCTTTGTCCTTACAGCTTTTTTTGGGTCAATCTCTCCTATTAGCCCACTCAAGTGACCACTGACAAAAGTCTGAAGAGTGGATGAGAGCAAGGCAGTTTCTTTGAATAGGAGATTGGGAAGTGGTGGATGTATGAAAGAACCACTCAGTTCTTTCTCCTTCAGCCAGTGTCTCTCACAGCTGTTCCAGAACTCCCTCCCTTTCAGCATTACGGAGGCACTTGTCTTTACAACTAGCATAGGTACTTCCCTTCTGTAGGTACTTGAAATAAGAACATTAAGAAGAGCCTTACTGGATTAGACCAAAGGCCCATCTGGTCCAGCATTCTGTTCACACAGTAACCATCCAGACGCCAGTGGAAAGCATGCAAGCAAGACAAAAGGGAGCAGTACCCTTTGCTCCAGTTTCTCAGCAACTGATAGTAGAAAACATCAATAGCCATTCAAAACTTTCCATAAATTTACTTTATCCCCTTTTAAAGGTACATACTTTGGCAACCATTACATTTGCTCTTTTGGATTAAACTTTTCTTTACCGGGGGTGGGTTTACCTGAATTTTGGATATAACTATTTCATCATGGAGAATGACTTGAATTTTAGTTGCCCCTTTCTGCACATTTTCTTCCTTTATAATATTTTTTTACAGTCAAAAATGTATTTATTTTATTAACCCTGACTTCTACGTCTTCTTTATGGGGGATTAAATATTATTTTATTTTAACACAGGCAGCATAATTCATATTATTCTAGCACAGAGAGTATAATTCAAAACAAAAGCAATCAATTTCGGTTATAAAAGAAGAAAGGAAACAAAGAAAGGGGAATAAAAATACATATATACGAATATGCACACATATGTATAGCTAGACCTAAAACTAAACTACACTAATGTACAATACTGAGACATTAAACTAACATACTAAACACTAACTAAAGTACTAAACACTAACCTATTAAGATGCAGTAGTGTGCTGTCCCTGTCCAAAGTATAAGGAAAGAAAAATAAAAATCAAAGTATAATATTCTACCATTATGGATCCAACTATGTAATTGTTCTAGAGTTGCTAGAAGCTATATTCCAGATTATTACATCATTAGCTTTCTTATTGTTCAAAAATTTACTTAAGTTTTACTATAAAAAATCTTCAGTTGATTTATACATTAAAAACTACATTAGTTTGATAATTTTTTTAAAAATTAATTTTTATACCATTTTCTTTTACAGTGAAAGAGGGAGAACAATTATTGTGATAGAAAGTTGTGAAGTTTAGACAGACCGTGGGGGATAAAATAAAGGGTAGGCGGGGTAAGAGAGGTAGGGAGGGGCCCAGAAGTAGAATAGAAGGGATAAAGGGGAGGTAGGAATGGGTGGAGAATGGGATGGGGGTCAGACGAATGTGTGCATCACTTCCGTTCAGTCCGCAGAGGAGTGATTATCTCGTTGTATTGTTCCTTTTTCCTGTTCCTTGCTGTCCTTGCTCTTCTTACCCATCGACTTTTAAGTGTCCAGTTTGAATTTGCTTTTCAAATATTCTTCCATGTCCTTCCAGCTTATTTGTTTGGTCTTACTGAGTTCTTCTATTTGACTCGATAATCTGTCACAAATTCTGAAATCTGTTATTTTCTTTATCCAATCTTCATTAGTTGGAATCTCTTTACTTTTCCATTTCTGGGCTATCAATATTTTGGCTGCCGACAATAAATAAAACAAAATTTTTTCTTCATTTTTCTTCAGACCTAAATCTGTTATGTTCAATAAATAATATTCAGGTTTGAGCTCAAACTTTGTTTTAATAATGTTTTGTGTATGTAAATGAACCATCGTCCAAAATTTTTTAATCTTCTTGCAATTCCAATACAAATGGAAATAGGTTCCAGCTTCCTTTCTGCACTTCCAGCACTGCGTATTGTTATTTTTACTAAATTTCGCCAATTGTACAGGTGTCAAATGCCATCTATAGAAAACTTTGTGCCAGTTCTCTACTATGCTGCTGGCTCTAGTGTATTTAAGCTTGACCTTCCATACTTGTTCCCATTCGCTTATTAGTATAGAGTGGCCTATATCCCTGGCCCACTTGACCATATTTTCTTTTACTATTTCCGTTTCAGTATTCCACTCTAACAGGTTTCGATACAAGATTCTAACCAGCTTCTTATCCTTTTTCATAATTATATCCCAACACGTGTCCTTTTCGCTAAATCCCACTTTTAGATCTTCCTTTAAAGTTTCTTTAATTTGTATATATTGTAGCCAATTTAGTTCTTTATCTTCCCTCTTTAATTCTTCCATAGACCTCAGGTGCCATTCATTGTTGATTTTAACCAATAGTTGCCTGTAATTAAGCCATCTACTTTTCGGTAACTCTCTTTTATAATATGCCTCTATTGGCGATGTCCACATGGGTATTCTGGGGTAAATGATGTCTTTATACTTGTTCCAGGTCTTTAGTAGGGGGCCTCTGATGTAATGATTAGTAAAGTTTTTTTCTATCCTTGCCTTTCCATAGCTTAGGTAAGCGTGCCACCCTCTTCTAATGTCATAACCTTCTATAGTTAATATTTTTTTTTGCTCCAGGGTAGCCCATATTTTCACCCATGATAGGGCACAGGCTTCAAAATACAGCTGCATGTCCGGCATGGCCAATCCTCCCCGACTTTTGGCATCTGTGAGATTTTTAATCTTAATTCTGGCTTTTTTCCCCTCCCATATAAAATTTAATATTTGTTTGTTCCATTTTTGGAAACATGTATTTGTCTTAATAATTGGTATCATCTGGAACATGAAAATCATCTTAGGTAATACACTCAATTTTATGGCTGTGATCTTTCCTAGTATAGATAGATTTAAATATTTCCAGTTGTTGAATTTCTTTATTATATTACTCCAGGTTTTTTTATAGTTATCCTTAAACAGATTCATATTTGAAGCCGAAATTACTATGCCTAGATATTTAATTTTATTGACCACTTCAATTCCAGACTTCGAAACAATCTTTACCTTTCTTTCTGCCTTAACATTTTTAGTAAGAATTTTTGTTTTATTTTTGTTTATCTTAAATCCTGCTAGTACACCAATTTTTTCAATTTTAGATATCCATTTTTCAATAGTTTCTAATGGAGACTCCATAATGCAGACCACATCATCTGCGAACGCTAAGGTTTTGTATTCTTCTGATCTTATTTTGAGGCCTCTTAGCTCTTTATCCTTTCTTAAGTCCTCCAATAAAACTTCCAACACCAAAATAAACAAAAGAAGGGAGAGAGGGCACCCTTGCCTTACCCCTCTTTGTTTTTCCACTTCCTCTGTTCGCAGGCCATTGATTAGTACATTTGCTGTTTGTTTGGAGTACATTGTCTTTAGTTTGATAATTTTGAGCTTATTGGGTAATGTTTTGCAGTCTATTTTTCTGTCGTTAGTGCTTCAGTCTATGTTTGAATTTGAGTAAACAATATTCTGCTGTTATTATGTATCGAAGTAGTTCATATTTACTATCCAATTCTTAGTCCATAATATCCGACAAAAATGTTCCTGGTGGTATTGCAAAATCTACCTTTAATTAACTTGTAACACTTTGTCCCATAAAGTTTAGTTTTCATACAAGTTCACCACATATTTTAATATCGGGGAAATCCCAGACCGATCCCTTCTTTAGTATTGTACAGTGTTTCAAATTTTCTACTAGACTTCCTTGCCTGCCAAACAAATGTGGAATTTTTTTCCCAGCAATTGTACACAAGTATCCGAATTCTTGTAACTGGGATCATTTGGAAGTAAAAATAAAAGTCTTGGCAAGACATTTACTTTTATTTCTGCCTTTCTTTCTGGAAGGGATAAATTTAACTTTCCTCAACTTTTCCAAACCAATTTCAATTTCTTTCCAGACTTTTAAAATATTTATTTTGACATAATCAACTGTTGATCTTCATAATGTAACTATAATAAGTTTGTGATTTATTGACCAGAAATGTAATCAGTATTGCAAGTGAGATGTCTTTGCAGAAGAGTATAGCAGCATTACAATGTTGCTGATTTAATTTTTGTTCCCTTTACCAATGATCTCCAGTGTGGGCTACTTGTTTTTCACAGTACTCACTGAGTTGACATTTTAATCACCACAAGTTCTCTTTCTGTTGCACTAGGGCCCTGAAGCCTCTTTTGACCACAAACAACACACTGTCCAAGTAATCCAATAAGTAAAGGTTTATGAAAAACATATTATATAAAAAG